TGCAAGTGCTATTCAAGTCGTTCCAGAAATTCAACAGATGAATGTGCAACAATTATTTGTTTTTCAACGAACACCACCATGGATTATACCTCGAGTTGATCGGCGTATAAGTAATTTTGAAAAACGTCTGTTAACATGTTTTCCAATTATTCAAAAATTGATTCGAACAAGCGTTTATTGCTCACTTGAAACTTTAGTACTATCATATGGTTATCGTTGGCCAATTCGTTATGTTAATCAAGAATTAGTTATAAGTAATCTTAATAGAGAAATAAAAGATATAGAATTAAGAAAAAAAGTTACACCAACATGGGAATTAGGATGTAAACGTGTTTTAATAAGTAGTGATTGGTATTCAACATTACAAAAATCAAATGTAAAACTTATAACAAATCGTATTAAAGAAATTAAATCATATTCAATTATCACTCAAAATGAAGATGAATATCCAGTTGATATTATTATTTGTTCAACGGGATTTCAAACACAAAAATTTGCATTACCTATTTATGGAATTAATGGTTATTCATTAGCTGAACAATGGTCTGAAACTAGGCAGGTAAATTTATTTCATATATATATAGTAAAACCTCTCTAATGTGAACACCATTGTGACTTTTCAAAAGCGTTCACTATAGGGAGATATTCACTTTAGAGAGGTGACACACATTTTGCTGCAAAATGAAGAAAAAAATCCAGAATGTCTACTGCTACACTAGTCTTGAGTTAAGTAGGAGCTATTTATTCTCGTGCTTTTTCTTGTAAAATTGGTCCTGATATTGGTATATTTTTTGAACGTTGTTGTACAAACCATTCATATACTTCTTCATCGAGTTTTTGTGCATTTACATCCATTAATTTTCATTTAACATTTTGATTGTGATTTGTTTCATAATCATTTAAATATTCTGTTTTACGTTTTAATACATTTGATACAGAACCAAGTGAAATATTATATTTTGCAGCTAATTTACGTTGAGATAAACTATTATCATCCTTAATATCATTAATGAATTCAATTTTCTATTGCAAAGTAAGATCATGTTGTGATGGCATTTTTTTTCATACGCACACTACTCTATTCTAATACACCAAATGTAATTAGTTGTAGTGCATAAGAGGCAAATGATCGACAGTAGGTAGAGAGAGAAAAAAAAACATGCACATGTGTTCACATTACAGAGGTTATAGTAGCTAGAGGGACTGGAAAACAAGTGTTCATGTTTAGAATAGAGAGATGCATTTCCAGCAAAAATCGCTCCATCGGACTTGAGAGTGTTCAGAATAAGGAGGTGTTCACTAATAGAGATTTTACTATATATATATATATATGAGTATATTACAATATTTTGGTACGATTTTCTTTCAATTTTACTCTTTAGCTTATATTGTCCCTGGTTAATGAACCGTCTACTGTGAAAAATTTGTAGTTTATAGATGTATTTAGAAAAAGAAATTTTGTAGGAATCAAAGACAAGAAAAATAAAAGATAATGAATATTTCATTTGTAGAGATTGGAATGTTCTGTCGAATTATATATTTTTTTGTTTTCATGCTCATTCATTCGAATTATTGCATGAGAGACACTTGATCATTTTCATGCAGAGTGACCTTATTTTTCAATTTTCTTCATTTTTCTACAAGTTGAAGGAAAGCGGAAGTATTTTTTTTTTTGAACGAAAAATTCTTTTTCGAAAAACAACTTTATAAGAAAAAAAACCTTCTTGTGAACGATTCTCCTTTTCAGTAAGGAAAGAAAATAATCTTTTTCTAAACATTCGAGTTTCACTCACTTTTATTATGAATAGCTTCAGCACAACTTATCCCTTTTCGATCGAAGTTTTACCTTAGATCTATTTCTTAGAGTTGTTTATCTGTCTATATCTTATCGCTCTCGAGATATGTGCATTGTATGTGAAATGTAGACTTACCTTCTCTGTGAAAAATGATCTAAAATGAGTAGAAATAGAAATTGGCAGCCATTCTCCTCCTCCTCCCACAGATCCGAATAGATGTTGTTGATATAAGATAAAGAAAAAAAAAATTTAATAATAACGTATTTTTTTTCTATAATGTTAAGCAATTAGCTCAAATTCAGAGAATAATTTTAATAGTCAATGGAGTCTTCTATCTAATGCATTTCATATCAAGATTTCATATGATAAGATATCTAAAAATTGGGAG